AGGTGTATGTGTGTGTGTGTTTTGAGGTGTGTCTGTGTATATCGGTGTGTGGTTGGAGTGTCTCTGTGTGCATGTCAGTGTCTGTGCTTTCTCTCTCTGTATGCATAGCTGAGTTGTGTGTGTGCACGTGCATGTGTGTGTGTATGTAAGTGCCTGTGGTGTGTGTGTATATATGTGCATAATCAAATGTCAGTTTCTCAGTAACATCCACAAACAGCATATTGAAGGATATAATCCATTCCATATTTTCTATATATATTATTTCCTGCTTTGTTTTCTCCAAACTCCTTATCACCAATTAATAAAACTTTAATATAATTTTATAATATAATATAAAAATTAATTATTTGCCTATGTTTCCTGCCATTAAAATGTAAGGTCTTCTTACTGCTGAATTCACACTGTTTAGAAACATGCTATTAGGTGATCAATAAATATTTGCTTCAAGAATTGTAAGGAAATTGAGAATATGCAAAATGAGTTTACTGGCTGTCTGTAAAGGAAAGCCACATATTCTTTAGAGCACATGCTTCCAAGGTTATCTGACTCTAGAATTTTATTGCTTTTGATCTATTTTGCAGTGCTATAGTTTGTACGTAACTAGCAACAATGCAAATAGTTCATGTCCATAGACACACACGTACATTCTGTCTGCTGGAGGGTCACTTGAATCCCCTCACCAAGCCATTTCACATGCATTCTCAAATTCACTTCAACATTCCTTTACTTCATATGAATTTATGTTTCTTTCATTTCTGTGTCATTACTTCATTCATGACTTAAATAAAATGGGGAGTTGCTGTTCAATGGGTACAGTTTCAGTTATNGATCTATTTTGCAGTGCTATAGTTTGTACGTAACTAGCAACAATGCAAATAGTTCATGTCCATAGACACACACGTACATTCTGTCTGCTGGAGGGTCACTTGAATCCCCTCACCAAGCCATTTCACATGCATTCTCAAATTCACTTCAACATTCCTTTACTTCATATGAATTTATGTTTCTTTCATTTCTGTGTCATTACTTCATTCATGACTTAAATAAAATGGGGAGTTGCTGTTCAATGGGTACAGTTTCAGTTATGCAAAATGAAAAAGTTCTGTAGGCTGCTGTACAGTACAGTGCCTGTAGTTAATAATACTGAACATTTAAAAATTTTTTAAGGGGATAGGTCGAATATTATGTGTTTCTTAACCATAATAATAAAAAAACCCTAAAGTTCCTTGTGACAATTTCATAACTGCCAATTTGTACTTCTTCATCCCTTCACCATTTTCACCCAGGTGGGTACTAGACTTATTGTGGGAATCACTTTGTAAATTATATAAAATCTAACCACTCTGCTGTACAACTGAAACTAATATAAAAAATATTGAATGTTAACTGTAATTGAAAAATAAAAACATCTTTGAACACATGTTTATTTTGAATCTATATGAGATTCATGACTTTACCTTTAAATTTTTTTAATAGAACAAATGAACTAATTGTGTATGCTTCTGTGAACGTGTCAGCTTTTTGGTTTGTGGTATGTTCTAAGCATTAGCAACAAGCTTCTCTGGGCCAAATATGATGGACTGTGTAACACTGTAAGCTTCTCTTAAAGGTTTTTATCTATTTCCATTTGGGCAACTGGAGAGTTAGAAGCAGAAAAATGAC